ACTGCGTGCGTGACTCGAACCGGCGCTCGCGTACGGCACCTAATCGCCTAGCTTCACGCCACTACACGTCTTCCCCTCGGCCACCGGGCATCCCCAAAAAAGGATGCTTAATAACCGAGCTTATTACGTGCAGAGAATGTGAAACCCGTCCACGCGATACGCGCCACACAGCATGGCCAGAATGCGGCAAAGGCCTTCAGATCTGGCTGTAGTAGGATGGTGAAAGTAATGGTACAGTTTTAAAAATAAAACTGCAAGCAATGAACCAGGTGGGCTAGCAAGTAGCTATGGTTTAACAATTACACATTTAATTGACTTTTGGTCATATACATGTATCTTGTCTGACAACAAAATTATAGCACCAGTTGCATGCCCCTGTTTGCAACAGTAGACAATTGAGTGCGGATCCATAAATCTTGGAGGCCGAACATGCTAATACAATATCGTGTGGATGGTGAAAAACAAAAAAATCAGAAGACTGACTACAATATGTATCAAATGCTTGTAGTAAGTGATGAACACTCTTGTACAATTGTACCAGGGTGTTTTATTTAAAAAAATAAATGTCATTGCTCCAATTAAAATTCAATTCTATTTTAGGACTATTGAAATAATAAATCTACATATAATGCGTCATTATTGAGTGAAGTATGTACATGTGTATGTGTCCACGTCTTTTTTAGTTACTGTGATCATAATTGTTTAGATCTCATCAAGTCTGTTGAGTGTGGAACTGTGCAGATAAAATTTATGTCAACCATGTCTTGGGAAATGTCTGTTGTTGTGATGGGATTGTGTTAGCATATTGGCCCACAATCGAGTGTAGTTATTGTGGTAATTGATGTGGTTTGGTGGTGTCTGAAGCCATCGTTATATTTACAATGTATCTGTGTATCTTACATACCTTCATAAGGTAATAGAAAAATATCTCACCACAAGACAAATTTTATTTTTAGTTTACAACTCACCTTATCAATGTCGTCTTTTTGTTTCTTGATATTGGACACTATTTCTAAAATTCTACGAGTGTATGCTGATCGGTTGACGCCTTTGGTCATTCTCTCATATTCAGATATCTAGAGAAAACAGTGTAAACAAAACATTTCAATTTTACTGAGAAGTTTTGTTCGGTTCCATCCTGATCTGTACTTACGACTCCACCAAATAGTTTTAAAGATTCAAGGTTTCCTGACAGACATGAAACCATTGACTTACCAGCTGTTTGTGCAAGTCTTCCTTTGACCTAGTCTCATCTGCTACAATTTTCATCTTTTCACGAAAGGATTTTATTTCTTCTAATTTCTTCTGTGACTCTGACTATGCAATAAATTTAAAAAACGCGTCAGAAATGTATGTAAATCTTCCAAGTCTAAAATACAAATGTATGTGAATGTTTAATTTTGTACACTGCATCATGGGAAACAGGAGACACTTGCTTTAGTAACTCATCTGCTATCTGTTGGTCTCAACTACCACTGGGAGATTGCCAGAGAGATATCCACACTGTTCATTGTTTATTTTACTTGCACATTTCGCCATGCTCATTGTGTCCTCTTATTTGCACATGTATTTATATTCATCACATTTTTGAGTGCTTTCTTGATTCTTATTTCCTTTGCCCATATGGAAATTAGAATCAAAATGCAATTACAATTTAAATACAATTTAAGAAAAAAAAAAATCCAAATCATAAGTCATACAAATAATACAAATTGTTCATATTCAAAGTTGACAGAGAAATACCACTACTTGTATTATGGCCCTTGCCGGCAAAACAATGTATATTCTGTAAATTGGTTGGAAGAAGTTGAAAGTCCCATGATCACCACTGAATTGAGATGCAGTACCACACAATATCATTATGTGATAATGCAATACAACATGTTAACACCTGAGTGGAGCAAAACAACTACTCTGCGTATTTGCAAATATTTAACAGTTACAGTGAGTGCATTAGGGGGAATGGGTTATTCACTAGTAGCAACTTACCAATGTGTGTGCAAGGCACTTGAGGGGTCTATAAATTAAGTTTCATATTAGTCATAGGGCCCTTATCACCATGCTTTCAAGATTTATTATGATTGTTTCCCTGATAAGCAATGCGTGCAATATTTATAATAGTACAACACTGTTTATACACTCAACAGTTATTGGCGCTCACATTACCTGCAGCTAGCTTAATAGTTGCATGCGAAATCAGTTCAAAACAAAATGCAATCGTTTGAATGCAAGTGAATCAAACCTCAGAGCAAACATGTCTGGGCCCCATGCGCATGCCTGGCTGACATATGGTGACAGTTTTAAAATGAAAATGCAAACATCATGCAATGCTTATATTGTTCCTTCATACTCACTGTAACCATCTTTTGTAACTATGTTGAATAGTTGTTTTGCACCGCTCAGGTGTTACTGGTAGTATTATAAGGTTATCACAAGCATACAGTAAAGTACACACAATGGCTATATGGCGGCTGTATCAACCATTGTACATTGTATGAATTGAGATTGATGCAATCCAGTACTACTGAGTACATAACATTGTCGTAATCTCATGATAACTTTATTATTATAATACATCTTTTCAAATTAATGAGAGATGTTTACACATTGCGAACATTTACATTCAGTAACAACTTTATATTTCTAGCACACACTATATTGGCAAAAAAGACAAACTTTTTCTTACCACTTTTCCTTCATTGAGTTCTTTGAGTTGTCTGTATTGTTCTATCAATGGTGCCCTGTGTTTCTCCCACTGATTAGCTAGACTAACTAGTCTCTGAGCACTGCTGTCCACAACACTCTACAAGATGTAATGCACAATGAGATAGGGTTTAACAGATTGAACAAGCCATGCATGACACAGTCCCTGTTAGTTAGCAAAGTTAAGATACATACATGTAGTTTTATTTATAGTAATATAGTTGGAACATAAATATGTCAAAGATATGCACACAAAGCTAATGTGAGTGTCATATATAGTGAAAGGATAAAACTATAAATGTTTTACAATTATAAATTTTATAAATCAAAATGGCTGTTAGAATTCAAATTGACCAATCGTGTAATGGTATTGTGACATCATCGTTAGTTCCAATTAATATTAATTCAACATTATCCAATCAGCAAGTGCCTCATTTTTAATAAGTGGGTGGTCACAGTTGTTATAAATAAATATACAAGCTAAGTTATAGCTTTATGTCCTTCACTGTACATCAAGCTCTGTTTGCTACAAATTAAAATGTTAGATATTATATCTTAGTAATTTTCACATTAATCTAAGCACTAGTTTTGTGATATTCATATCTAAAAAGCAGGTGTTTTCTTCAGGTGTGTCAAAGAATACAATTTCACTGCCTACTTTCTTGATTGAGGTTTTTTATCAAAATCTTGGGGAAAATAGTAGGTAGGCACACCTACATGTGTAACACAAATTTGTTTCACCTTTCTCTAAAAAGCTAGAAAAATAAATACAAATACTGTCTTTTTATAAATTTTATAAAGAACTGAGGCCAAAAGAAAATCTGTGGGTCAGTTTGAAATCTGCGTCTCATGCAATTTTGCATACAAGTAAAGAATGCCATCTATGGTAGAAAGAAGAAATGTTTGTTTCAGAGGATGTTTTGTTGATCGACGTCAACCTTCAATGTATGTATTCAAAAGCATTATTTATTAAATGTTGAAGATTGAACATATACATGTACCTTGCTGTTGTGGTATTGAATAATTCTAATACAAAACAATAATTAAATCTGCATCATTTCCAATTTTCCCTGAGAATGGAAGCAAAACCCAATTTTATTTTAGATCCTGTAACACAGAGCAAAGCGTAATCTGCACTCACCTGTAATTTGGCAATGTTAGCGTCAGCATCTGGCAATAAATCTAAAGTTCTCTTCATCACTTTATAAGAGTTTTCTTTATCACTGACTGATCTATCCATCACCAGAATTAGCTCTTCCATCTAAAGCAATAAGACACAATGAATACCATAGTTCCCTGCGTATAAGCCAACCCTTTAATTTCAGAAATTCAACAAGTAATTGAAGGCATCACCAGGTACATGAATATACGCCTAGGGTGTTTTTTACCAGGTGTTAACAATGGGTTTAATTTTAATAATACAAATCTTTCACTATGAGAATTATGATTGGTAAAATAGTTCTTTTTTTGGATTGTGTGGTTGCCCTGAGAAGGGCTGTTTGGTTTGTGTTTTTATGAGATAAACTTACAATTTAACAGTGCACAGGGAACAATGCATGGTTTTGTTTTGTATCACTCAAGGTGAACCCAATGTTGTGACACTGATTCAGAAGTAATTCATATCCGTAACTCCATAAATGTGACAGCCAAGTAATGAAACCTGGTCACAGGACTTTATATAAGAATGCCATCATCAATAAAACTCTTCTAACAGTTGGGTACCAGGAAGGGATTTCTCTATTCATGCATAAATACGTACTTCTAATAGAATATGTATAATAAAAATGGAATACTCTGTATGCACTACTGGTATGTATCAATACCTGCTGTGTATTAGCTGTGTATTTTCTCATATCGATTTCCATTGCTTCTATTTGTGAAGTCAATCCTTGTAATGCTTCTCGTAAACATTCCACTTCTTTCTCTCGCTTCTGCTGAAGATCCTAAACATATAGAAACACGTAAACATGTACCGAACGTAGTGACTTTAAAATAGGCATAGATGAAAGCTTGTGATTTTCAAACCAATTAACCAATATAACAGTGCATTAGTAAACTCATAGATCATTCAAACTGACATTCAACAAGTGAGCACTCATATTTCTGTTTATAATCTATTTCAAGTAATGATATAACAATTACATACCTCTTCTGTATCTAGTTTAGGAGCACCTTCACCAATACCCATTTGTACAGCAGTCTTAGCATCATCCTACAAACAAGGTACAACACATTTCATGTCACTTGGTACATTACAAAGTTTCACACTACTGCCATACAAGTTATCCCATGTATTTTCAATTGATATGGTAAAGGTCAGTATTAAATATTGTACGAGAGACAACAAGTCAGTGAATATTGTGAACTTTTGTAGCAGTGAACATTTCTCTGGCATTTGACAACAAGTAGTGTCTGTCTTCACAAATACCATGAAATCATCAAATCGTTGAAATTCCTAACAGCCACAAATTATACATGTATGGTTTACTGCAGATACAATAAAATTGGCAAAAAAAGCAGCAAAAGATTGCAGTCAGTAATTTGATAACTGCATGACATTCATCACAAATATATACATCCAATTTACCTCAGTAAACTGCAATTTTTCTGCATGCATAAACCTTGATCCTTTGGTTTTACTTGCACTTTTATCAGTGAATGTATTCAATGTTTGCATTAAATCTGTTGTAGCAGCTGCAGCAACGGTGGCTTCACTTTTCTGGATTCCTTGTCTTAGTTGGTCAGTTATTTTCTTCTTCAGTCGTTGCTGCTTTCTCAAGCGATAATCCTGATGAATACAGAGGAAACAACAGTAATTAGTGAATTACAATATCAGATCCTAACAGGTTAATAAAGTTGACAATATATCAATTATAATTAAGGACGGCGTCAAAAGATTGATGTCGGATAAAAAACTTAATTCCTTTAGTTTTTTTCAAGAACCCCCCACTGAAACTTAATTGATAAATATTGGTCATGGCGTCAGACTACATTCACCATTAAATACAAATTGATAATCGGACAGTAGTATGGCATAGCAGTTGGTTGTCGGGTGGGTGTAAAAAGACTTTACAAATGCACCTTCATTGACTTCAATAAAAAATAAAATCGTTTTTGTAGGATGGAAACTTTTTGAGGTCAACCCCCCACCCCCAAACTACAGCAAATAAGTTTTTTATCCGACATCGATCTTTTGACGTTGTCCCTTACATGAACTAACATCTGAATGGTGTAAATAATTAAAATACCCAATAACAAATATGTTCATACATGTAGAAACTGCTCTAATTTTGATTATGATCTACAATATTTCTTTTTCTCAAATAATAATTGTTTGATATGTTTAATACCAGTTAATAAATATGTAACTTTATTAACCAGCAAGGTGCTTGGTGAAAACATCTACTACTGCAACACAGAGGGCACACCTACTTCAATACTGAGAGCAGTACCTCCACATATCTAAATAAAGACCTACCTCAACAGTGATAATATAATTAATAATTTATGTGTGTTTTGTGAGATGTTGGACATTGATGCAGTGAAATATCTACAATTTGGTTAAATATATTCAGAAAATTATCCAAATAAAGGCTAACAAACAAGCAATATAAGCTGTGTAATAATTTTGTTTCAACCCACTGAACACCCAAATGAACTGTTTTCTACAACAAACAAACTTGCTTACTTCCACACCAGTTAAACAAAATTGATCAAACACATAGTCAAAAATAAACAAAGAAATTAGGAAACAAAAAATAATACACAGGTTGTTTTATTCTGAAATCATCATTAAATTTTAAAATTTGTCATGAAAACTTTTAAACTGTTGCACATGGCAGCTACAATCATGAATATTTGTTTGTGGGTGAAAAAACTCAGTGAATAAAAAAAATACTTTATTTTAGCTGGAATAAATATTCACTGAAAAGACTTTTTGGGTGTTTTGTATGTAATTTATTTTAGCTGGAATAAATATTCACTGAAAAGACTTTTTGGGTGTTTTGTATGTAATTTATTTTAGCTGGAATAAATATTCACTGAAAAGACTTTTTGGGTGTTTTGTATGTAATTTATTTTAGCTGGAATAAATATTCACTGAAAAGACTTTTTGGGTGTTTTGTATGTAATTTATTTTAGCTGGAATAAATATTCGCTGAAAGGACTTTGGGTGTTTTGTATGTAATTTATTTTAGCTGGAATAAATATTCACTGAAAAGACTTTTTGGGTGTTTTGTATGTAATTTATTTTAGCTGGAATAAATATTCACTGAAAAGACTTTTTGGGTGTTTTGTATGTAATTTATTTTAGCTGGAATAAATATTCACTGAAAAGACTTTTTGGGTGTTTTGTATGTAATTTATTTTAGCTGGAATAAATATTCACTGAAAAGACTTTTTGGGTGTTTTGTATGTAATTTATTTTAGCTGGAATAAATATTTGCTGAAAAGACTTTTTGGGTGTTTTGTATGTAATTTATTTTAGCTGGAATAAATATTCGCTGAAAAGACTTTTTGGGTGTTTTGTATGTAATTTATTTTAGCTGGAATAAATATTCGCTGAAAAGACTTTTTGGGTGTTTTGTATGTAATTTATTTTAGCTGGAATAAATATTCGCTGAAAAGACTTTTTGGGTGTTTTGTATGTAATTTATTTTAGCTGGAATAAATATTCGCTGAAAAGACTTTGGGTGTTTTGTATGTAATTTATTTTCGCTGGTTTTTTTAAGAGTTGAATGTAAAATATAGGAAAAAAGGTATATTCGCTAGATTTAATTTTCACTGAATCATTTCTTCAGTGAAAATAAAGTATTTTACAGTAAATGAGTTACCTGCTCAGAAAGTCCTGAACCTAATCCTGAAGAATTCCATTCATTTTCCCATTCCTGTGCTGCAGTTACACTTGTAGCATTGGATTCTAAAACTGATGCTGGTAGATCAGCTTTATGAGGAGGTTGGTTTGTGATCACGGCAAGTTCCTTCATGTAATATTGCTTTAGTTCTGTAAGTTACAATAAAACAAGTATAATTATTAATCTAATTAATAAACCTAAATAAAGCAATTAGCTATTATCTCTAAGGTATGTGTAATCTGTTGATTTACCTTTGTGCAGTTTTTTTGTCAGATCACCTACTCCATAAGGTACAGATAAAGAACAACTGTGATATGCCCTTGTACCAATCACACCCTAGGATTGAAAGATAATGTATTCATGTGTATTATGTCAGCAAATATTGCTGATATTGTATTGGCTCTATTTGAAGCACATATCCATTCTGATACTTCAGAACACAGCCAAGGAGAAAAGAAATTTAGCCATGAATAAAAATGTTATCACAAGTGCAACAATCATAATCACAATGTGTTTGTTCAGGATACATAGCAAGGATTTCAACCCAGTAGGATAAATTAGCTGTGAGAACATGTCTGGTAAATTTTGATACATTGCATCTTTAAATATATTGAGCAATAAAATACTCAGTCACTTTCATTTTTGAAGATTATGTGTAAATTGTTAGAGCACATATTGTCAATATTGACACTTTAATCATAAAGTTTAAAAAAGAATTATGTTTCTGGTCAGCGTGCACACGTTTTAGCTTATGTCGTCACTGCATAGCGCCCACTGTGGACAAAGTGATGAAATCTTTCAACATTTGTGTACTGTGGAATATTTTAGCAAAGAAAACAAAGTTTGACCAGAAACATGTTTTTTTTTGCAAGGCTTAAAGTTGATAAAATTCAGTAGCAAATTTGATGACATTGATAGCTAACTGAAAACCATAATCAATATGTACATTAAAAATCTCATTAGGTGATAAACTAGATTACATGACAATATTTACCTCCCTGTGCCATAATTTGGGTTTAGTTCCTCTCCAACAGATGCCCTTTGCTTTGCAATAGGGTGCAGACCATGTGGTTTTTAACTGCCTGGAGATTTCTGTTGCTATGGCTCGTTGCATCAATGCTGATGTACCTGTATTGGGAAACATAAATTATCACTGTGAACTATTAGCGAGATTATTTTCCACCTCTGAAACATAATTTTCTTTCAGTCATTTACCATCATGCAGCAAAGCAAGACTGTGGGTGTTTCAATTTTTTATAATACATATACAATGGCTTGAATGCATTTTCCATAAATGATGAATTGAACATATGGGCACTGTTGGCCATACCTCATTTTCACTTTCAATAAAAATTTTCTTTAAATTGCGTGTATGACTAGATTGACAGTGAGTAAACCATAGTAAACGAAAACTACATGTGATATGTTAACTCACCTAATGCTTCATCAGTTCTTTCAGCACTGTCTCTTGGCAGTTTTTCTATTAAAAATAACAAAAGTCTTCTTATTTCAGTTTCACTGGAGTAGAGAAATGTTTGGTACCCAATCTCTCCCTGGTATCCAAGTTCCTGAAATACATGTACCGGTATTAGCATAGTGATTGCATAGTGAAGTTCTACATAAAACATATTCTACATATATGTGGGAAGATTGATTGTGATGACCTTTTTGTTGGGAACAATAGTAGCACTGTTGAAATAAAATACTGTAAAAAGTAAAGTGTACATGTATGTTTCATATATGTAACTACATGTACCGTAACATAAACAGGTAATTATTACATACTGCTTGGCATTAAATAACCAAGAACAAGTCAACTTCTGAAATATTACATTGTGTTGAAAATAATTTAACAATGATTGATATAACAAATACAAACTTACCAGGCAAGCATTAGCTAATGCTGTGCCTACTCTAAACTTGGCAGACATTCCAGGTGGAAGATTAGGTGAAATGTCAAATTTATCTTTGATAACACGAAGGCATTGCACTGTAGCTGCTACAACAAGTTCAGTTGAAAACTTTTTCAAACTGTCAATTGAATCTGGTAAATCACTGCAATGAATGAAACATAGTTAAACTACACATTACAAACTCTGGGGAAGCTATAGATATTTGTCTCTCTCTATGTGAGAAGAGAGACTTGAGTGAAAAGATAAACATAATTTGGGACTGCATTGTTTTCAGAAGACCATGATAATATTGGCAAGTGAAACATTTTTGTCTAGAAGTGGAAATAATTCTTGTATAAATCCTGGCAAAGATTGTAGAGCAAAGACTTTGAAGGAAAAATTATGCAGGACGTGTGGAAAACTAAAAAGATCGATATAATAATTTTATATTTTAATTGAGAGGTAGAAATAACAAGTCATTGAAAATGGCACATAGTCCCCGTTAAATTTTTAAAAGTTCCCTTTGTGCTCGTCATATTAAACTGGAGGGGTTGTCGCGAGCGTGTCCTTGAAACTTGAGTTCCAAGTGGCGTGTACAACAGATTGTTTATTTACATCAAAACACGTGTTCCGTGTAGAAGTAATATGGCCAAAAATAAAAACAGTCGTTATTCAGCCATCTTTGATCTGATTATGAAACACACTGATATGTATGACCTATGTGCCAAATACAAATGAAAATTGTACATAAATTGTGGAAATATAGTAGTAAGGCCAAAAAGTCAGATGGCTGTCAATCGGCCATCCTTGACCAGATTTTGAAACAAATTGTCATGGACATGCATCCTAACATGTATAAAGTACATGTATGTGCCAAATTTGAATGAAAACTGACAGAGCACGTCCTAGATACCACACATAAAACAAGCAGCCTATCGGCTGAGATAGCTCTGCTGCTAGCAATGCACATTTCAATTAAAGAACTGAAGACATCATTAGAAAATGAACAATATTTATAGTATCAAAGCAATCGGACAAATACTACTTTCTACCAAAAATAATCACCAAAATTAGAGAATTGAAGATATCATCACAAAATGAACAAATCTGAGAAAGGTCTACATGTAGTATCTATATATGTAATATCAAAGCAATTGAACTATTTGTTTTTAACAAGAAGTTGAAAATATCACTTTTTACCAAAAATGACAAAAATATTCACCAAAATTAGAGAATTGAAGATATCATCACAAAATGAACAAATCTGAGAGAGGTCTGCATGTAGTATCTATATATGTAGTATCAAAGCAATTGGACTTGCGGTTTTTAAAAAGAAGTCAAAAATATCACTTTTTACCAAAAATGACAAAAATATTCACCAAAATTAGAGAATTGAAGATATCATCACAAAATGAACAATTCTGAGAGAGGTCTACATGTAGTACCTATATATGTAGTATCAAAGCAATTGGACTTGCGGTTTTTAACAAGAAGTCAAAAATATCACTTTTTATCAAAAATGACAAAAATATTCACCAAAATTAGAGAATTTAAGATATCAACATGAAATGAACAAACCTAAGAGAGGTCTACCCAAGGTACATATACACCAAGTATCAAAGCATTCAGGCTTGTAGTTTTCAAGAAGAAGTCGAAAAAGTAAAACATTGACACGGACGACGACGACGGACAATCACTCATATAATAAGCTCCGCTCGACAAAGTCGACAGCGGAGCTAAAAAACAAGATGCCTGCCAGTTGACCATCTTTGATCTAATTGTGAAATAAATCGTCATGGACATGTATACTAACGTGTATAATCTATGTACCAAGTTTGAATGAAAACAGACCAAGCATGTCCAAAATACAATATTTTCAAAAAACAAGATGGCTGCCAGTCGGCTATTTTGAATCGAATCGCTAAACCACTGCATGTGCATATGTCCCACATAAAGTACTAGGCACATGCAAAGAATGAACGGAATCGGTCCAATGGATTCTGAGATACGACTCCGGACGGGCGCACAGACGCACAGACGGACAGAGACCGAATTATACGTTCGAACAGGGACTAATAATAGCATACCATAAACATAATAGACCATTTTACGCTCACTGCGAGAATCACGCATTATGCGTGAAATTGAACGTAAAAACAGGACAAACAAAGGTCATAGCGTCGTAGTGGCGTCAAACATCGCGTGGGATTCGACAAACGCGAAGTATTTTGGGGGACATTTCCATGCTTAATAATGTGCTGTCCACATTTGATGATAGGCAATTTTGATTAAGTAAGGGTATTCGAAAGCAATATTCCTCTGTCGAAGATCGGCCGGTCGATGTGAGTTACGAAATAAAGAAATTCTAGTTCAAAATCAAATCGTTCGATTTTTGCGGCAGACGTTCGACGCACGTTTTTCATACATCTCGCGAGATCTCGCAATTGTACGGAAAATCCCCTATTGTTTGGCAGCTGACATTTGTTCCTATTACTTGTTTGGCTACTAACAACAGCTGACAGCCTGGGTACCTGAAAGCTCTTTCATTACAGTATACAAGCAAGTATGGTGGTTCTAGTTAATCATGATTCATGGTATATAGCAAGCGTGTCAGTAACTATATACAGTTGGCCAAAACCGTAACAGAAACAAACAAAACATAGCACACATCGTACGTCGATTTCATCTCCTTGCACACAAAGAAATTGACATCACCCTGATCATAATGCTGACCAAAAAAATGAAAATGAATATGAATTGGGACGAATCAACTTGTGGGATGAATATATTGGAACGAATTGACTGTGAATCCCCAATAACAAGCCCAGCCCCCAAATACTGGGAACAAACACACAATCACGGCACCCTGGGATAGAAGACAGTGTCACAGGGCTAGAGAATTATACATTATGAGCACAAGCTCCCTTCATGATCCCAGACACATATAATGTAAATTGTTTGTGGGAGTCATTTGGTGACATACCGGTAATCCACGACATCCACGATTTGTCTATTAAAATGTAATTCATTTTACAGACAAAGGTGGGAGGTGCTGACGAGCACTTCAAGGGTAGATCGATACGTACACACGTCATAACAACAAAAATAAATATAAGCTGCAGGAAGCTACAGTGCCATAATATGCAAGTTACCCTATTTTACCAACCTGAAAATAGCCTCTTTTATTATTTTGACCTTGAGTGTCTGCCTTTCTACTTTCGATGGGTCTGAAACTATGAAACTAATTTATCACCTATACTAAGGTTGACAATCCCAAACTGGTTGATTTCACAATAAAAACTGCTTAATCATTGGCAAAATCCCTGTGAAGACTGCCATCTTGAATAAATTATCGTGATGTGACAATGCATCACAATCTCGATCAGATCTCACCTTGACATCCAGCAAAGGAAACATACACATTCGCACAAAGTTGATTGTAGAGGAAAAGGAATACTGATAATTTTTTGTTCACTTTTTACTTTAATAAATGTAAAATGAACTTTATTCGTATTGAAAATAATAAATAAAATAATTTATCCAAAAAAAAAGAAAGTTGCATTTTACAACTATTTATGTTTCATTTTAATGATCAACCTGATCATTTTGTATATACAAATGAATTGGGTAACTGGGAGTGAGTGTTAGGGATGGGTGTACAAAAGGAACTCTTGCCTGTAGGGATACTAGGTACATGTGTATCTATCTGCAGCTACAACCCACATTCTATTTTATTTTATATATATATATATATATATATATGTTCTTTTATATATGTGTGGAAAACATGCTGTGATTTAAACTGATCACAGTTGCCTTACATTAACACTTGCTGCCACAATGAACTCAGTCGGGCGGTTCCCTGGTGACTAAGAAAGCATTTGCATCTCTCACTTATGTCCAGTCAATGAACGACCTTTGTATGCGCAAAGTATTGTGTAATTAATCTTTTGTATCTGTAAAAAGCTACTTAGATGAATGATATTAAAAAATATTGGTCAGTTTGTTCGGTGGAAAAGTTATTTGCCGGTTCTGACAAATGAAAAACGAACTAAATAGA